GCTCTGAGTGCTGTCCTTAGCCCGCCCCTCCTTTTTGGTGAGCACTGAGCTCTGAGTGCTGTCCTTAGCCCGCCCCTCCTTTTTGGTGAGCACTGGGCTCTGAGTGCTGTCCTTTAGCTGTTTTCATTCGTGGCTGGTGTCCTAGCACAAGCCACAGCTCCACTTCCAGCTTTTGGGGGGTTCCGTGGAGATAAGAGTCTCACACTTTCCTGCCAAAGCTGGCTGTCAACTGCAATCTCCAGATCTCAACTTCCTGAAAAGCTGGGATTTCAGGTGTGGGCCGCCAGCAACCCGTTCTCCAGTTATGTGCCGTGACGTCTAATCTCTACTCACACATTCAGTGTCATGTCCCCACCCCCGCCTCTGGACACTTTTCTATATCTTGAAAAACAGAAACTCGATATCCATTCTACACTCAAGTCCCCTTCTTCCTTCATCTCTGTAAACTTGATAACTTTACGGACCTCATCTAGGCTTTTGTGACTTGGCATAACATCCCCACATTTCATCCCTGTGTACCATGTCAGAGTCAGAGTTTGTTACTCTTTTTTGCTATCAGCTGCTCCTTGGGTTGCTTCTACCCCCGCTATTCTGAATAATGCTGTGTGCACGTGCACCACAGGGCAATTACTACATGGCATAGCACTTCCATTTCTCACTTTCTGAGAAACCTCCATACTGTTTTCCTTCACAGTCACACGCCAACATTCCCACCAACAGTGCACAGAGTGATAAAGAGTCACTTCTAAGGCAACTAGCACTGACAAGAACTTGCGTTTTTAATACATTACATAATCCTCCACACACATCTTACTAGCCAAGAGCCCTGATCAGCTGCCAGTATCTCCCTTCCTATTCTTCTTTCCCTATTCCCGCATAAATGTTCTCTTCGGATCAATCCAGTAGGCGATCTACATTACGTACTATTAGATCTACAGCTCACTAAGCACTAAAAATATTAACAGTGCAAGGATTTTAAAAGACACCAATAAAAAAACCAAGTATAATGGAAAGATATCTGAGAGTCCCAATGGAAAACTAATGTAAATCTGCTATGCGTATCTTAACAAGTAGCCTTCACAAACACTAACAACTTACTAAATAATGTGGATTTGTTGTTCTTATACTACTTTCAAATAACAACTCAAAGTTCCAATAAAAATTTTGAGAAAGCTCTTTAAATACCATCCAACTACAGCATCCTCAGGCTCCAGTGTGCATGGGAAAACTAGCCCCACAGTTCCTCCAAACAAACAGACCCCTGGCGTTGTTTTCAAAAGTTTGGAACTACATGGTATATTGATGCTAGCGTGCTAAGGGAAAACTAGGCAGGCAAAATAAATATGCAAATATATTCATTATTCGGCACTAGGATAAAAAAGTCTAGTCATACTCTAGATTAAAATTTCAGTATTTCAATTTTAAAAATCCATGCCACACATGGTGTTTGTAGGAAATGCCCTGATCGAATCAGTGCATACTGTATTGAAACACCACACTATACCTATTAAACCTATTAAACTATTATACCTATTATAACATATCAAAAATAATAAACCAACAGTACATAATTTTTTAGACTCTCAATTCTATTACACTTCGGTATATGTTTACCTTACCAATATCATGTTTTTGTGATCCATCCGTGATAGTTATTTCCTGTTTTAATTATTTATTTATTTATTATATTATTACAATATTATTATATATTTGTGTGTGTGTGCGTGTGTGTGCGCGCGCGCGCATGTACATGCATACCCATACATGTCTGTCCTAGGGCTTGAACTCTGAGGTCTAGGTACTATCACTGAACTCTTTTGCTCATGGGCTCTCCAACTTGAGCCACGGCTCTTCTGCTTTTTATGAGTAATTGGATATAGAAATCTCACACACCCTTGCCCGGACTGGCATTGAAAATGGATCCTCAGATTTCAGCCTCTTTAGCAGCTAGGACTACAGGCATGAACGACTAGAACCTGGTTGTTTTATTTTCAAAACCTCAAACACGGACTGCAAATGGCCACAAACAAACCCAGAAAGTGTCATGTACAGCAGAGGTCCTCAGTAGATTTAGAATACACGTCTATGAAAGCTCCCAAACATACTGTCCTAGATTGGTCCGTAATACTCTGTGCGCACAAGAGCACCTGAGGGCTGGCTGAAGTGAAGAGAAACGAAAAGAGGTAAAAAGATGGAGGGTGAAGGCAGCACAGCAGACGCTGGACACCAAAGGACAGAAGCCAGCAGGGAATCAAGCTCAACAAAAGCGCAGGGCCTACTGTGTGAGAGAGGTGCAGGGTGCTTTTAACAATTGCCATAAATTTCAAGCTGGAGATGGGAAATTGTCCAGGTAAGAGTGGGGAAGGCTAAGGTAGATGCCCACCTCCCGCCCTGGAGTGGAGGAGACCACACTGGTACTGTTTTTAAATAAGGGAGTAAGACGAAACATAAGATCACCAAACACAACTGTAAGGCTGAAGGTGAGGTTCTTCACCACAAAGCACAAGGCACTTCATAGGCTGGAAACACAGAAATGGCAAGATTTGTTCAGGGCCATACTGAGTCTGTCACCACACAGGAAAGACCGATGTGGACTCCTAAGTGTGCATGGACAAGAATCCCGTACAGCATATCAAATAGCTGAGATACCTACATAACAAGAAGTAGTACATGCCAAAGACAAGATTCTAATAATTCAAATTTAAAACACACAATTAGGTAAGGAGTTGGAGAAACCTGGGGTGGGTAGCGAAAGACATTTCTATTAAAAGCTCAGGGATAGTGCCCAAGCCCTGAGTTCAAGCCCAAGGACTGGCACAAAACAAAACAAAATCTTACCACCAAACATATCCTGAGTGAGTGGGTCTCCACTGGTATTCATGTCATCACGCAGAGCTGCTTTCCACATCTACAGCAAGACACAGGTGCCCAAACTACCAGTCATTCACTAACTCCAGAGCACAGCGAAAACACCTTTGGGCACCCGCCTGACTGCTGCAGCTTTAATACTCTGTGTACAGGACCAACAGTGGCCACAAGTGGCAGATTCTGCAGTCAAATGACTTGAGTCCTGAGCTAAAGACCAAGAGCTGATACTGTGACCTCACATAGTGCTAAGTACATCTTCTGCAAGGGTGAGTTACACAATTGAGTACCCTGTTTCAGAGAAGCTGTCCCAGGGGGAATTCTTGTCTTGCTGAGGTAATCCTGTTCATCACTATAATCGCAATGGATAAAAACTATCCCAGGCTCAACACTGTACTGAATTCAGCATTCGCACGCTCTGGTTCATCTCAGCGAGCAGCTTTCATTTTCTATGGCCTCCTAGCTCTCAGCCTTTCTCTTTAGTGCCACACAGACAATCCAACGGCATCCTCTTTCTGTTCCTTTTAGGTCCTTAATCTGGATAATGTCTCTTTAGGTTTCTATGTGGAAGAGAGAGAGAAAGAGGGGGGGGAGTATGTGTGAATTGAAATATACTAGAAAGATATTAGATACAAAGAAAAGAGTAACAAAATAGAAGGTATGATGGAAATAATTGCATGAATTTCTTTTCCATTGATGAGGGAAAATTCCTTAGACACCCAGTTAAAATTCATGATTTCATGATGGCGTAATACATACACCCACACAGTAAACAAGGACACTGCCATCTTTTTTTAGCCCATAAAGGAGGACTGAATGTTTGTATCACCTCAAAGCTGAAGTCCCAACCACACATGAGGCCTTCCTGTGGTGGAGAGATTAGCGCCCTGTGAGAGGATCTGACACTGATCCCTGCATTTCCATAGGAAGGCGGCAAAGTGTCAATCAGACAGAGGCCCTCACCCCTTCACCTTGGACTCTCTCAGCTCAGAACCACAAGAACAAAACCCTGAGACCTGTGTTGTATCGTGGGGCAAGTGCTAGCACAACTGATGAGAAGCCCTACTACCTAGAGTATGAATAACTAGGAGTTCAAATCAGAACCATCTTCCTAACCAGCTTCCTAGAAGGGCACAGTGCTTAGACCTGTGATTGAAGAAAATACTCGTAACATCAAAGGGGTCTTCAAGTTGATGAAAATGGAAAGTATGAATGGTGTAATAGGAAGGATAATTAAATTTCCAGTTCTTTGAACATTCACAAGATGACTAATTTCATTTACAGTGTCCATATTCTATAGGCAAAACTATATAAACAAATAACTTATGTTCCAAAGTCAGAAGCATTTTTTTACACTGAAATATCTAGACCACTTCATTAGCTGGTAATAAAAACTGACCTCAAGATAAAATTTCAATAATACACTAACCTATTCAGCTAGTTGCTACATTCAGGATAATTTTCAGTTACTTGTTAGGGATTAATAAAAGCAATTAGTTCTCTAGCACTCTATGGTAATTTCACAGTAAAACAATTAACCCCTAATATTAAATGCAAATTGTAAAGCTTTAACAGGCAATTTTACTCTCTTGGCCTTCATGACAAGGCTGTTATTTTATAAAAGTAGATTCTTGTCACTGTGAAATCAGATGAAATCTTTCTCTAGTTAGAAAATGTAAATTTTCTCTGAATGAAATACAAAAGCAAAGGGTACCAAAGCACTTCCAGATGTCATGTCGGACAGGGACCTTCAGGACTCCAAGTTATCAGCGAATGGGAAGAAACCATTACTGGATACAGGGTACGGCTTTGTGACTGTGCACAAGGACCTAGAAAAAAGGCCCTCAGCAAAAATGCAACCTGGCTGGCACTTTGACCTAAAACACAGTGTCCAATTCTCACAGACCAGTATGCACATGAAAGCCACTCAGTGTGAACTACGTTGCCACACTAGCCTGACCCACCAAGAACAGGAAGAGATGGTTGTGTTGATTACTGTGACAGGAGGTCTCATGGGTATGTATATATTCTCAGAAGGCATTACAGTTTATACTTCACTTAACTTTTTGTATGTCAACTGTACCTCAAAAAAACTGCTCAAAAATTAAATGTGTACACATATATAAAAAAATGTTATAAAAGAAAAAACTCACACACAAATCAGTCAATATCTTAGTAAACTAAACCTCTTAGGCCTTGACAGATTAAGCAAAAAGTTGTGACTAAAGGAAAACATTTAGTTGGCACACATTTACACATCTAATTTGACATCATGAAAGGAATCATACTTCTACACAAAAATTCACAGCACAAAAACTGAACACATATCAAACCAATAAAGACCATCCTAATAAATTGTAAGGAAAAAATTCAAGTAGTCTAACAATCATGTCATAAAACTAGAACCTGGCAGTTACAAATAAAACTTAAAAAAAAATTCCTCACTTTCTGAAGCTGAAAATACTCCCCATTAAATGATTGCAAAATAAGAGAAATCAAATACAAAACTGCAAATTCCTAAAAAGTTACAATTAAAATGAAAGCCATGTCAAAATCTTCAAAGAACTCAAGCTGGGCACCCGTGACTCACACCTGAAATCCTAGCTACTCAAGAGGCTGAAATCTGAGGATCATGCTTCAAAGCCAGCCGGGGCAGGAAAGTCCATGAGATTCTTATCTCCAATATACTACTCAGAATACAGGAAGTGGCATGATGGCTCTAGTGGTAGAGCGCTAGCCTTGAGCTGAAGAGCTGAGGGACAGTGCCCAGGCCCAGAGTTCAAGCCCCATGAACGACCTTCCCCCCACAAAAAAAGAATTCAATATGTAATAGGAGGACGTTTAATTTAAACATTACCAAAGAATGAAAAGAAACAAATAAGATATAAATAAGTCAGAAAAAAAGTTAAATAAATGTAGAAGAACAATGGTATTATCTAACATTCATGCACACACAAAGAGAGTATAAAACTGATAAATGTAAAGAGATATAACTGAGAAAATTTCAAAATAACTGTAAATCACTAATAACTTCAAAATTTAAAGGAAAGAACAATACTGAAAATGCGAACACAGGAAACAAAAAGAACTACAAGAAATTATTTCCTTAACACAATGTTCATCAGTCTGAACACAAAACCTAATTTTAGAAAAGGAAAAAAAATTAAATTACAGATGAGTTGAAGGCACACACCTGTAATTCTAGCTACTCTAGAAAGCTGAGGTCTGAGGATCACAAGTCTAAGGTAGCTGGGGCAAAGGTCTGATATTTCATTTCCAATTAACCAGCAAAACTGCATGAGATGAGCAAAATGATAGACTGGAGGACTGGTTCAAGTGGTGGAGTGCCAGCTGTCAACAAGAAAGCCCAGGGAAAGTATAAGGTCCGTAATAAGGTCAAGCACCAGTACAACCACACACCCACACCCACACCCACCCACACACCCCCCCACCCCCACCCACACACACACACATATACACAGCGGTTTAAATTTGTAAAAACTAAAGTTTTATATTAACTCTTTAAAAAAAACCTTAGAAGGAACTGAGAAAATAATAAACTAAAAATGTACTAAAAAAAAAGTACATTCTAAAACCAAGTCCAAATCATTCCACTAGTGATATGCTCAAAATAAGATCCAACTGAGAGATTTTATTGGTAGCCAGGCTTAAATGAATGGCCCAGGCCTCTGATGCCATTTACCTGGAAAGCAGAGACCGGGAAGATCATGGTTCCAGGTCAGCAGTGAGGAAAAGCTCATGAGACTTAATCAATAAACTAGGCCCAGTGGTATAAATCGGTCATCCAACCTGTGTAAGAGGCTGAGATCAAGAGGATCATGGTTTCAAATCAGTCTAGATAAAAACATGTTTGAGACTAATCTCCACAGAAAAAGCTGGGGTGTGAATATACTTGTCCTACTGGCTATAGTGAGCAAGACCCTATCTCAAAAATAATCGAAGTATGGGCTGGGAAGGTGGCTCAGTGGTAGAACGCTTGCCTTGCATGCTCAAGGCCCTGGGTTCGATTCCTCAGCACCACATAAGCAAAAAGAAAAAAGCCAGAAGTGGCGCTGTGGCTCAAGTGGTAGAGTGCTAGCCTTGAGCTGAAGAGCTGAGGGACAGCACCCAGGCCCAGAGTTCAGGCCCCACAACGGGACCCAAAAATTAAAAAAAATAATAAAAAATAAATATTTTTAAAGAATCTTATTCACACTTAAAAAGTCATTTTTATTGTGACTGATCAGTCATGTAAGTCAGGCAAAGATACATTTCTGTTCGGACAATGTCACCCTTCCCCCGCCCTTCCTGTTTTCTCTCCCATGCCCACCCACAGGTTATATGGTTCATTTTCTTCAGTATCTAGTGAGTACAGCTGCTGCAACTGTCCGCTTTTACCCCTCCATTTGTGTCCCCCATTCACACATGTAAAAGCATAAACAAATGATAAATCCTCTCACAGATACAGGGGCTGGAATCTTCTTTCTGCAAGGGCCCTTTGGCTATTTGTAACTTCTTTACAGGCCATACAAAATTACCAATGCAGGCAGACAGGCCTGAGGCGGCCACTGAGAAGTGTGACATGTCTATCCCATTTGTCTATCCCATAATGTACCAAATGAGTTCTCAGGCCAGACATTCCCCATCCCTGGAAAAACTGAACAATTCAAGTATAGGGCATCAAGGATCCTTCAAGTTAACTAGAAAAATGAGTCTGATTCAGAAAGCTGACTACTGCAAAGCTGTAGTTCATTCCAAAGTAATTTAAATTCAACACAATTCTAAATAAAATCTCAACATATAGAGGAGTTCACAGTGATGAATAAATAAGATTGACCAGGAAATTATGAAATCAGAAACTATCAGCTATGGTACATTCATGATTCAGAATTTTTCTTTCCTAAAAGAATGAGTTCGTGGAGGGGCATGAGCAAGGTGATAAAGCCACCTGCTACACGGAGCAGGAAGAGAACATGATTACTTTACAAAAATACTTGTCAGTGTCTATCAAAACTGATCACAAGGGGCTGGGAAGGTAGCTCAGTGGTAGAGTGCTTGCCTTACATGCATGAGGCCCTGGGTTCAATTCCTTAGCACCACATAAGCAGAAAAAGCTGAAAGTGGCATTGTGGCTCAGGTGGTAGAGCACTAGACTTGAAGAGCTGGGGGGACAG